GTGGCTGCATGGGTATGCTAGTCAACTGCAAGTACTAGGGAGTATTTTAGTATAAAAAATAAACGGAATAGAGCTAAGCACAGGCAAAATCAGAGTAAAACCTGGTTCAGGCTGCTTTCCAACAGACACTGGGAGACAAATTCACCTTTCAGCAGGACAATAACCTAAAACACAAGGCCAAATATACACTGGAGGTGCTTACTAAGACGACATTTAATGTTACAGTTTTTATTTAAATCAGCTTGAAAAGCTATGGCAAGACTTGAAAATGGCTGTCTAGCAATGATCAACAACCAACTTGACAGAGCTTGAAGAATTTAAAAAATAATAATGTGAAATTATTGTACAATCCAAGTGTGCAACACTCTTAGAGACTTACCCAGAAAGACTCACAGCTGTAATCGCTGCCAAAGGTGATTCTAACATGTATTGACTCAGGGGTCTGAAATCTGATATTTCTCTATTTAATTTCAATCAATTTGCTCAAATTTCTAAAAACATGTTTTCACTTTGTCATTATGGGTTATTGTATGTAGATGGGTGAGTTTAAAAAAATAACATTTTCAATTCAGGCTGTAAGACAACAAAATGTAGAATAAGTCAAGGGGTATGAATACTTTCTGAAGTCACTGTATAAGGTTAATTTGAGTGAAGTCATCCCCAGACAGTGTGGAGCTGTCCCAGGCCAGCACGATGCTTGACCTTTCTTTGGGACTCAAATAGAAGTGCAAATGAATGTTACATAAGGCTTTGCCATTTCCTCATCATACTGTGTGAAATAGTTTATCTGTGTATGGACTGTTTCTAAATATAAAATCCAAGGTAATAAGCTGCTTAGAAAAAACTTTTTCTGCTCAGTGTGCGTGTGCATCCATGTGTGTGGGAGAGAGGAAGAACGAGAGGATACAATTAAGTTAAACTGAAGTCATCATCAAGACTTAAGTGAAGCAGCAGAAAGGGAGGCTGGAGAGCAGAGTATGTGGAGGAGCAGCAAAATACCGTAAACATCAATGTATCAAAATAAACTACAAAATAAAAAGTAGTTAGTAGTTTGTAATGTATTTAATTAATATGCCAGCAAAGCCACTACAAAACACTAAACAATACATTAATTGCACTATAACGGTGATAAACGGTGCCCACAAACTGTTAGGGCCTACATAAAGCTGTCCCAACAGCAGAACTTTCTTTTCAGCACCATGGAGTGAATCCTTACCACCGCTACACCTGGCTATCAGCGGAGCCTTGTCTGGCAGCGAAACCGTTCATTCAGCCTAATTTACTGCCTTTAAAAAAACATAGCTGATATGGCTGACTTGCTTAACAAATGTAGTTTCTACTGACAATTGAGATGTACAAACTATGGTCATAAGGGGACGATGAGTGGATAAGAGGCAATCCGTAACTTTGATTAAGACATCAATGAGCGAGCTAGGACGGACAATGTCGATATAACTATTTGTTCAGCACTTTTGAAATGCACAGAGACAGAATTCAGAACATGGGCCATTCCTACAGTATTCTCCCTGTACACCAAGTCAGAACCATAGGCTAAATAAAGGGGGCGTATAAGCAGACAATGAAAGCTCTTACAATATTTGATGATTACATTTCTCTAAAACAGGCTATAAGCTACTTGTGCATCACCAAGTCAGAACAGTAGGCTAAGTTATAAGGGAGAAAGGGACCAAATTATTAGGGTGAGGCACATGCCTACTAACAGCTTACTACACAACATACACTTAGTATTACTTTCTTAGCTACAGTATACATATCTCATAATATGACATAATTTATGCAGCAGCATGCAAGACATTTTTGGACTCACTGTTGTTGTGCTGTGCTCACTTGAATAGGAAGGTGGCGCGGTGATCCTTCTTGTGGGCAAATTTAGTCATCAAACGTTGTCATCAAAGTCTGGCATTCTCTGGATTTATGGTACTTTCAAGACAACTGGGATCTCTGAAAAAAACAAGGTTGAATCATGATGTCAGTGATCTTCAGGTCGGAGCTCTAGAAAGAAGCCCAAGTTCCCAACTTGGAATTCCGAGTTGGATGACCGTTCAAAACATATTTTCCAAGTCGGAGCTAGTTTTTTTCAGAGATCCCAGTTGTCTTGAACACACTGAAGTCTGAGATTTCCCAGTTCCGAGTTTCCAGTTGTTTCGAACACGGCAGAAGTCATGCTGGATTGACAGCATGGCCAATGTATTCAACCTTTTCTGGCCCATGGTGTTGAATGTTTATCCTTTTAAGCTTGGAAAAGAGACCCTTAAACCCAGACTTGGACCACACACCCACTCCACTGAATAGCAGGCTAGTGATTGCTTTGCAACACTTGCAGTTTGCCACTGATTCCTTCCAAACCACTCATTGTTGTATTTGCGATTTCCAACTTGTTGTGTAATGTTTATGTCCAATGGCCTATGAGCACAGATACGTTTTATCTATAATTTATCTTCATATGACAAGGATTGAAAAGGATTTGCCAGTAGATTGTCGACGTGATTCATGATGATGACTGCTTGTCTAGCTTGCTAGCTAAGATTTTCAAAGTATGACGTTGACATGATCAGTCCAATCAAAGCTATGGTAGATATAACGCGATTTGACATAATTTTATCTGTGGCCAATGACCTTGAGCCTTCTTAGATGGGCACTTCTAATGTAACTCAATGGCAGCACCCAAGGGGCTTGAATTTTCGAGCTCACCCCGTAGATTTTGCAGTGATGTAGTGTCCCCATGAGTGACAGAACACTGAGCCAATCACAGCGCAACTAGAGAACATTACCAACCCTTACGCTCCGTATTTTCTGCTGGCTGCCCCACCACTACAGAAAGCACTGAGCTAGGCTGAAACACCTGCATTTTGGAGCTGCCTTACTCAAGAAAGCAAAAAAGACACCATGTTTGTATGCAGCTTTATTCACTCAATATATATATATATTTTTACATTGTTTGCAAACTGATATGTGACACGTATTAATGCCAACATAACAGGCAAAACAGGCAAAAAACCTGCCCTGAATGAACCTGCCCTGAATGACGGGTCGCCACTGGTCGGAACTAGAAAACTCAGACATTTCCGACTGGCCAGAGAACGCCGCACGGGTAGCGAGAGTTCTGCACTCACTGACAAAAAAAAAAAAAAAAGGAAGAGCAATTTTGGAATCCAGACAAGCCGCTCCACCTGATTGGCTAGACTCTCACCTATTATACAATCCCTGACCAATACCATGTGAGTGCCCTTGAGATATAAACGTGATACTAGGAGGTAATATGTAAATAAATGTTCCGTGTTAAAGAGATGAAAGATTATGTGTCAATGTTATTTTCGTAATGCGCTGTTTAGGAACATAACTAATGTACAGGCAGTTCTTATAAAAAAAAGGAATCACAGATTCTATTGTTTTTCTAAATAAATAACAATTCTATAGCCTGTTTTAAATCAAGTGTAGGCCTATTACAACAGCTCAGTACACAGCTGTTAGATCTATGTTTGAAAAAAAATATTAGGCCTATAATGGTTTGAATAATTTGATGTTTCATAGCATATTCTTTCTAGAATACTAAATGTGGATATTGTAGGCCTATTATTATCGAATGTGTTATTTGCAAAGGCACACATTAGTGAGACATTTTAAGAAATTCACTGAATGGGTGAAATAATTTCGATAAAAACATGGTCTCATACAGAAATTCGGCTTCGTAACCTGTGGAGAGCATGTTTGAAATGGCCCAAGTGCATAATAAACAACTTCACAAGTTTAGTAATAACTTCTGTTCAGCTTTTTTGAAGATGCAGATACAGTAAACAACAGCCCAAGACGTACGACCTGAACTTGTTGTCCTACCATAAACACTTGACTTGAGATAAACATAGCATGATGTGTGACTCACTACGCAATTTGACGGTATGGGTGAGCTGCAGCGCGCAAGACGAGCCTATAAATTGAGGAGCGCTTTGGTAAAAGTGCAGTACCCTGAAACAGCAAGGAGCAAAGCACAACAACAGGATTAACAAATTGAGGATTAACTTTTATTTTTGCTGTCATATATTGGATTACATTTTTTCTACAAAATTCCAAGAGGTAAATATATAGATGAACTGCTTGATATATAACAGAAGAAAAGCATTAAATAATTTAGCCTACACTTCACTTTTATAGTCTACACTTACAGGGGTATTTTTGTGACAATTTGTTTTACAAGTCACCTAGGTCATTTTGTTGAGTTAAAATAGGTTTCAATGTAAATAGAAGTAGCAACAGTAGGTCTACTTGATGGTAAAATAAAGAGAAATGGTACCTATGGTAGGACTAGCAGCAACTGTAATGAGTGGTAGCATTTTCAGTTGTAGTAGATAAGTAATCATAGTTCATGCCAGCTAAAGTCTTACCTTACCACCACCATTATAGTCATAATCATAATCATTGATGAAAGTTTGTTGATGTTCACAGGTAGTGGCATGCTGCTTTTCTGTCTCCAGGAAGATTTTATGGACCAAGGCATTTCATCAGGAAAACACCTCCAAACAAGAAGTTTACCTGTGAAAGAGACTTGAAGATATTCCTCATCAATATCACTCACTGACAGGTACTGCATCCCATTGAGAGTTGTACTGTATGGGAAAACCTTAGCAAATAAATCAAAGCATGTCTCGCATACCAGGGGATGACAGTGATTTACTGCACCATTCTCTGTATAGCTACAATGAAAGTACACTATGCCAGTTTGGATGAACATACTATGATAACAGCAGGAATCTTAACCATACAAGTCTATGTGCAAATTCATATGCAATGGAATGGAATGTTGATATGCAAGTGGTCACCTGTCCTTCATGAAATTACCTCTTTATGATGTGATATAGTATCCAATCATTATCTCTGTGTCTTGGCCCCTCTGGTAACCACAGAGTTGCTCAGCAGGCTGATCCTCGTTGCTCTACTGTTGAGTTGGTTGTCTTGAACTCAAGCAACACATCTCCGGCGCAGCTATGGTTGGAATAAAACCCACAGACCTGGCACCAACAACGGCTGTCAAGTTTGTTGGTGCAGGCACAGCAGCCTGCATCGCTGACCTTGTAACCTTCCCCTTGGATACGGCCAAAGTCAGACTACAGGTGAGGGGCATGGATGGATGAGAGGCTAGGTGGCCTTGATTCAAATTGATCATTAGATCTGCACAAATCAGTTAAAATGTAGAGAAAGCGCAAGCAGTGGTGAACATACCCCAGTCAGGTGTCAGCAATCCTACTTTGTATTCCAGATTCAAGGGGAGGCTCAGTTGGGGCATGGGGCACAGGCTGTGAGGTATCGGGGTGTGTTTGGTACCATCACCACCATGGTGCGTACGGAGGGGGCCAGGAGCCTCTACAACGGGCTGGTGGCAGGGCTCCAGAGACAGATGAGCTTCGCCTCCGTCCGTATCGGCCTCTATGACTCCATGAAGCAGTTCTACACTCGTGGCTCTGACAGTAAGTTTTACAACCCCTATATAACCTTATAACCTCACTTGTGCTGACCTCTATCTTATACACTTAATTTATTGGGGACCCATAACTAACTGTGCACACCTCTCTTCAGGTGCTAGCATCGTTACTCGGCTCATGGCAGGCTGCACCACCGGAGCAATGGCTGTGATGTTTGCTCAGCCCACAGACGTGGTCAAGGTGCGTTTCCAGGCTCAAGTACGTCTGGCTGACGGGGTGAAGAGATACAACGGCACTATGGACGCCTATCGGACCATCGCCCGAGATGAAGGGGTGCGGGGCCTTTGGAAAGGTCGGTAGCGATCTCACAGTCAGGAAGGAAAAATGCCTGTCCTGAAAATATTACAGCAACTGAGAACAAAACTAACTTAAATCTATGTTCCTCTGTTCCAGGCTGCATGCCGAATATAACGCGCAATGCCATTGTGAATTGTTGTGAGTTGGTCACCTACGACATCATCAAGGAACTCATACTGAAGTACGACCTAATGACAGGTAAGGTTACTGTCTAGTTTTGACCTAGAACTGTATTACATAACATATTAATGTAGCTATGTAATGTCAATGTAATGTATGTTTGATATTTCTCCTCCAGATAACCTTCCATGCCACTTCACGGCTGCACTCGGTGCAGGGTTCTGTACCACCATTGTCGCATCACCAGTAGATGTGGTCAAGACCAGATTCATGAACTCCACGTCAGGCCAGTACGGCAGTGCAATGAACTGTGCCTACACTATGCTGACTAAGGAGGGGCCAACAGCCTTCTACAAGGGGTAAGAGTTTGATCATTAAGGCTTGCTAGAAAACATTTTGAATGACATTATCCTAGATTAGAATGGAAACCCGCTGCTAAACTGTGTACGTGACTAATAAACTTTGACTTGAAAACACCTGTCTGCTACGCAGCTATAATAGCATCTTCTTTCCTCTCTCTCACAGGTTTGTGCCCTCCTTCCTGCGACTGGGGTCCTGGAACATTGTGATGTTTGTGTCTTATGAGCAGATCAAGAGGGCTATGATGAGAGCAAAGACCTCCTGGGAGTCACCATTCTGATTTTTTGTTCTTTTTATAATGTTTTTCTGGACTGAGCCTTGCAGGCACGAAGGCTTCACAACAGCACAGTGGAAATCACGCCTGTTCTCCCCTAGGGTCTCATGACATGGAATTCTGGAGTGGGCTTCTAACAGTGGTGACACATATTACTTTTTAAAGCCAGAGAGGCAGATATGTAGGATTCACAGGAGGTTGGTGGCAACTTAATTGGGGAGGACGGGCTCCTGGTAATGGCTGGAGCAGAATCAGAGGAATGGTATCTAATACATCCAACACATGGTTTCCATGGTTTGATGCCATTCCATTTGTAGTCCCCTGTAGCTCAGTTGGTAGAGCATGGCGCTTGCAACGCCAGGGTTGTGGGTTCGTTTCCCATGGGGGGCCAGTATGAAAATGTATGCACTCACTAACTGTAAGTCGCTCTGGATAAGAGCGTCTGCTAAATGACTGAAATGTTTTTTTTAAATGCTCCATTCCAGCCATTATTATGCTACGTCCTCCCATCAGCAGCCTCCTGTGGTAGGATTATCCACCACTATACATGTTAAGGTGTAAAGCCCAAACGGGGCCCATGTAAAATGGTCTGGTAGCAAATGGCCTGTGAAACGATGACCACTTTTAGATAGTAGAGCGGAGCCATAGATCTTTCCTCTTGTTCTCCCTCATTCTTTTCCTTTGACTGTGTAAAGAAATGTTTACAGTTTTGCGCTTATGATGAAGTTGTTTATATTTCTATGTATTCTTTGTTTACATGTGTTTTCTCATTAAGATGTGAAAGCTTGGTTTATCGCTGGTCGATAACTCATAATCAGGTTATGAATTATGTATATTCCAATGCAAATGTAATTGATTCAGTTGACCTAAAATATAAATAAAGCTGCACTTTTTTTCCCAATTGAGTTGTCTTTTTCTGTCAAACAAAATTCTAAATGGTAGAGAAGTATAGTACTAACCTAACTCACAACCCCTTATCTAATGGGATCAATCCTCTCTCTGTAAAATGCAATTTTGACCACTGAAAAAAAAAATGGGAGAGTTTACTCGATACACACCTGCTTTCTTTTACAAAATGGAGCATGTTTACAATCTTTATCCTGGCTTTAGAGTGGCATACACATACAATAGTGTCCTAAGTGAGCTTTCAAACTGCAGACCCAACCCATTGACTTTAGTGAACCAAATACTTTCTTCCAATAATATTTGAGAGACACGTAACAGAGGCAAGTAAAGCCAGGAATAGAGGGAATGCTCAAAGTTCTATAGCACCAACTGATTCCACATGCATCATGCACTCAGTTGTTTTTAATATAATTTCATGTTTTAAAGTAATACACTTATCCTCTCAGGGAGCTTGGTCATTTCAGCAATGCATTGTTGTGAGTGTCCTTATTCTCACAAGGCATCTTGTGTCTGTTGAGGAAGCTGATTGTTTCCCAATGAAGGTCCTTCTCAGCCTGTGATTGCTGATAAAGCCAGAGGCTCAATGATGAACCATGTGTGGTGATGGTCAGGGCTCCAATCCTGTGACTAGACTTAAGACCAAGTCCAAAGTTAGTAAATCCATATATATTTGCTTCAGCTTGATCAGATTCATAAATTGAATTACTTTCATAACACACCCATCTTGTCCAACTTCAAAACAACCAAAACATGTTACAATAACATATGTCTCCAGACCAGTGTTGTGTTCCAGACCACCTAAAGCGAGACCGATTCAAGACCAAGAAAAGAGCAAATCAAGTCCAAGTCAAGACCAAGACCGGAGGGGGGGGTGAGACCGAGTCAAGACCGAGACCGGGAGGGGGACAAGGGGTCGAGTTAAAACAGAGGCCAGAAGAATGTGAGTCCAATTAAAGACGATGATTGCAATTTTGTTAAATCACCACCATAATAAGAGTTCAAAATGTCCAGTATTTCTGTGTTCATATTTCAGAACAACATATGGATTCTTTAGACATTCAAAATAGTGAAAAAATGCATGCTGAGGGGAAATAGAGCCACTCTACAAATTATTACTAACCCAAACACAGTGGGGAACAATGGGCCTTCTGCGCCTTCAGAGAAGGGCTAAGGATTTATAAAATAATGATTATAATAATATAATAATAATGATGATTATACTATTACTATTATATATACTTCAGTTTTTGTTGGAAAGAAAAGGGTTAACACTGAAGAGAAAAAAAGATCCAATCAAGATTTTTCTTTGCTGGTCTCTGGGGAGATAAATCTAGCTAGCTAAGTCAGCCATTGGCTATTACATCAGAAGCTAGATAAAGGCATCTGCCATTCAACTGTATTAGGGCCAAATGTTGGAGTGACAGTGGAATCAACCAATCACATTTTGACTTAATGGGTGGGACCCTTACAAAAACCTATGGAAACTTCTGCCTTCTCGAAGGCCAACAGGTCACTGCACAATAGCGAGCAGTAGTTTTCCCATGGTCTAGGTAGCTAGCTTTTGTTGTTGGCTAGTTTGCAGCGGCTGCAGGTGTTATCAAAGAGGATATTGTTGCTAATTTGTTAGCTTCTCCCTTTTCAAGAATAACTTTCAACAAGAAATTAAGTTTCAAATGATCATCGTCTGGTGAGTAGAACTATCTTTTTTATTGCAGTGCGCTTGCTGTTGTTAGCCATCTCTTTGAAAATAACTTATGTGTGTGAAACATTGTTGCATTTAAAGTGGAACTGACAGCATTTTAGCAACATGAAATCTTATTAAAATATGTTCATATACACCCCCAGGAAGAATTGGACACTTTTCTAAACATTTTCTGACAAGCGACCACTTAGATATGGTCATTTTCACATTTTCATAAATTCTTAGAATGTTTGGGAATTATGTATACTAAGGCATTTGTGAAAATTCTATAGCAATATAGAGTGGGAAAGCGGCCATGCGTTTGGACAATTAATAGACACTGCAGTAAATAAAACCGAATAAAAACATCTCTCTTGTCCAGGACCGGAGTCTACACAGACCGGTGCATTATAGCCAATCAGAGCTACAGTAGGCCTTTATATAAACAAGCAATTTACCACACGGGCCTGCCATTAATCACTTTGAACTGGACTGTGTGTTTACAGGCAGTTGCAACAGTGTGACTTTAGATCATTAGAACATATTTGCCAAAAGCCACAAAATACACCTGAATGGATTTCTGTAAATATTTAAACAACACAGGAGTCCTCTTACATTTGGGAACTTCACAGTTCTATTGATCAAACAACAATGAAAAGGTAGGCTCTCTCTCTCTCAATTATGCACATCAACAACAACAAGATCAACAACTAATCCTTTTTCAGCTAGTTGGCCGTCAAAATTGCACTGATAAATGATGGGAAATTGTAGCCTCCTCGTCTTTCTGCAGCTGCCAATGCATGCTTGTCCCAACCAAGCACCCAAGCTAACTGGCTAAAGTTGGCTTGCTTGCTAGCTAGCTATTCCAGACACAAATGAGAAAACACCTCACTCTAACCCTTTTACTCGTTGTAGCAGAGCTGGTTAGGCTGTTTACATGTTATCTAGTGCGTTCTTGACTAACTATTACTTTTTTTGTCTACGTTTACTCACACTGGTCATATTCAGCGGGTGTTGCACGTTCGTAAATTCATCAGTTGTTCTACACTCTGGCACACTCAGACGAGAGTGCTCTGAAATCGGAGTAGTTAGCCAGAGTGAATTTGCGAACGCAAGAGATATGCTAACTGGATAACAGTCGTTCAAGTTCTTGCTACAGTGAGGGAAATAAGTATTTGATCCCCTGCTGATTTTGTACGTTTGCCCACTGACAAAGAAATGATCAGTCTATCATTTTAATGGTATGTTTATTTGAACAGTGAGAGACAGAATAACAAACAAAAAATCCAGAAGAACGCATGTCAAAAATTTTATAAATTGATTTGCATTTTAATGAGGGAAATAAGTATTTGACCCCCTCTCAATCAGAAAGATTTCTGGCTCCCAGGTGTCTTTTATACAGGTAACGAGCTGAGATTAGGAGCACACTCTTAAAGGGAGTGCTCCTAATCTCAGTTTATTACCTGTATAAAAGACACCTGTCCACAGAAGCAATCAATCAATCAGATTCCAAACTCTCCACCATGGCCAAAACCAAAGAGCTCTCCAAGGATGTCAGGGACAAGATTGTAGATCTACACAAGGCTGGAATGGGCTACAAGACCATCACCAAGCAGCTTGGTGAGAAGGTGACAACAGTTGGTGCGATTATTCGCAAATGGAAGAAACACAAAAGAACTGTCAATCTCCCTCGGCCTGGGGCTCCATGCAAGATCTCACCTCGTGGAGTTGCAATGATCATGAGAACGGTGAGGAATCAGCCCAGAACTACACGGGAGGATCTTGTCAATGATCTCAAGGCAGCTGGGACCATAGTCACCAAGAAAACAATTGGTAATACACTACGCCGTGAAGGACTGAAATCCTGCAGCGCCCGCAAGGTCCCCCTGCTCAAGAAAGCACATATACAGGCCCGTCTGAAGTTTGCCAATGAACATCTGAATGATTCAGAGGAGAACTGGGTGAAAGTGTTGTGGTCAGATGAGACCAAAATGGGTTGTGGATGGGTATTCCAGCATGACAATGACCCAAAACACATGGCCAAGGCAACAAAGGAGTGGCTCAAGAAGAAGCACATTAAGGTCCTGGAGTGGCCTAGCCAGTCTCCAGACCTTAATCCCATAGAAAATCTGTGGAGGGAGCTGAAGGTTCGAGTTGCCAAACGTCAGGCTCGAAACCTTAATGACTTGGAGAAGATCTGCAAAGAGGAGTGGAACAAAATCCCACCTGAGATGTGTGCAAACCTGGTGGCCAACTACAAGAAACGTCTGACCTCTGTGATTGCCAACAAGGGTTTTGCCACCAAGTACTAAGTCATGTTTTGCAGAGGGGTCAAATACTTATTTCCCTCATTAAAATGCAAATCAATTCATAACATTTTTGACATGCGTTTTTCTGGATTTTTTTGTTGTTATTCTGT